TTTCTACCTATTTTATTATATTTAGTATTTATTTTATTTGTTGTATTAAATATATTCATTATATATATATATATATTTAATAATACGTATTAGTTTTTTATATGTAATAATAACAAACATTATTTGTATTTTTTTTTATATACATAATAACTGAAGTACTTATTATATATATAATAAGTTCTTCATATATTATAATCAAGAAATGTATTAAACAGTTTTTTATAAGATAAATCTAAGAATGGTTATTTTTATTTTTTTTTTATTTTTATAGAAAAGAAAAAAAAGCCTAGATTAACATTAGCTGAAAAAATTAAAATGAAAACTTCAGAGAAAAAAAATGATGAAGATAAGCAAAAATTAGGGGTATCACCTACTAATAAACCAAAGGTAAAGCAATTAAAATTTTATTTTATAAAATAAATATTCAAACTGTCATATATGACAATATAATATTTTATTTTTTTTTAATTTTATTTTTTTTTATAGAGTTCTCTATTAGGAGATGATCTAAAATCAAAAAGAGGATCTAATATTGATAGTGAATCTAGCAAAGGAAATGTATGAATTTAAATAATAAAATTGAAATATTTTATATTTTTTTTTTAGTTTTTAGTGAATTTAGTTAATTTTACTTATAGTGTATTATTTTATATATGTTATTTTTTATTTTATTATATTTTATTTATTTATTTTTTTTTTGATAGATTGAATCGTCTGAAGATAGTGATAGCTCATACGATATATAAAGGAAACATTTTGAATAAATTACTTGAATCCATATTTCTTTTTTTTTAAAAAATATAAAATCTCTTTTTAAAATATAAGATTTTTACAAAAGTTTTTTTATTTATTTTTTTTTTTTTTTTTGTTGTTATAGACTTTTTTTTTTTTTTTGCTTATCGAAAGTAAATGTTCATAATATTACATTAATTATAATATTTTTTTATATTAAAATTTGATTTTATATTTTTCTTTTTTTTTTTATTTCTTATAATTATTTAATCTTTCTTTTTTTTAAAGATAATTTTTAATTATTAAACATTACAAGATAATGGGTATCAAATAAATATAAATTATTTTTTGGGAGATTTAAATAACTATATTTTATTATTAATATATCATTAAAGATTAATAAAATATATGTATTACTTTAAAATAAAAATTATAAAATTATACAGAGAGATATAAAGTTTTAACAATGCAAATATAAGCTAATTTTATTACCTTACATCTACAATTTGTAAAAAAGAGTTTTCTTTATATAACAATTTTAATAAAAAGTTTATATATTATGTTTCCTTAAAAATAAATTAAAAAATATGTTTTCCTTGCTAATTATTTACTTATATTAACAATTTCATAAAGTGAGGAATTTGAAAATTTTTTTTATTATAATTAAAACTATTGAATAATATAAGATTTGCTTATATCCTGAATATTATTTAAAAAAGAAAAAAATGATAAGTGAAATATATTATTTATTGTATAAATATATTATATGTTATAATATAGTGTTATTTATTTAAAACATAATAATAATTATGTAAAAAAAGTAAAAACATTTATTTCATTTTTATTCTTTATAAAAAATAAAAATATAATAGTAAGCTTTTTTAACATAAAATTTCTTTTATGATATAAAAAAAATGGTAAGATTATAATGTTTTAACAAAATAAGAAATTTGATTAGCTTTTTAAAATATTTAAAATATAAATATTTTTGGATAATGTAAATGTTTTGTCTATAAAGAAAAAAAAAATGTTTCCTTTAATTGTTAAATATAAACGAATTTGTTTTGATATAACAGTATGTAACTATAATTAATTTTTTATATTCATACTTTGTAAATTATATAATATTTCTTTTTATCTATAATATATTTTATTTAAAATAAGAAAATATGGAATCATAATTAAGTACTATAAATTAACATTGTAATTGAATAATTAAATATGTAATATTCGTATACTATATATATATATATATATATATATATATATATATATAGAAATAATATATAATTAACTATAAAGAAATGATGAGAAATGTTAAAAATAACATTATGTATAATAAACATTGTAATATAAAAAAAATTTTTAACTAAAGAAAATAAAACAAATAAATTGAAATTTCACCCTGCAAAAGATTATGATAAATATTCAATATTAACTATGTTTTTGACACTTTTTTATTTAATATTCTTTTTTATATAAAAATGTTTTTAAATTATTAAATAATTTATCTTCTTGATAAGTATATCTGATTTATGCTAGAAATAAAATTTCAAATGATTTTTTTATATCAAAAAATATAAAATTACTTTATTTTTTATATATACATGAAACTATTTAAAATATAAATCTGAACGTTTTTACATAAGAAAACAATATTGAAATCAAATAAGATTTACTCTTTTTTATTCTTTCTAGTTATATCTATTAATTCTTGTATGAACTTTTATTTTTAATATCGTTATATTATTAAATAAAAAATTTAATAGAAATAAAGTAAAATTATATAAAAATATAATCATGAATAAAAAAATTTCTTTTTATTTAAAACAGAATGAAAAATGAAAATGCGTAGGTTGTTAAAAATTTATTAATTGGTATACTATTTTTTTTTTTTTTTTTATGTTAGCTTGATTATCGAATAATCATATAGTTAATATATATTTAAAAAGAATAGTATGAAAATTTTCATTTTTATAATAAAAATAATTAAGACTATGTAATAATAATAGCAAATGGAAGTTTTTATAATTATTCTCCTTGATTTTTTCTCTTTTGATTTTCTGTTTAATGTATTTTTTTTTTTTTTTTAATTTCTTAATATTGTATTTTTTTTTTTCAAATTTAATAATTAAAAAAAAAAATTTTTACTTTAAAATATTTTAGTATATATTCATGCTCGATATTTTAAAGAAGTAACAAAAAAAAAAAAAAAAAAAATTAAAATTGTTTAAAAAATAATGAAATTTTTAAAATAATAAAATAAATTAAAATTGAATATACTAATTTTAATTGTGTGCATAAAATTGGTTATAATAAAACTTATTTTTCTTTTAAATGATAAAAATATAATTCTCTTGAATTCTTCTTCGTGTGTGTTTTTTTTAATATTGATTTTTTTTTTTTTTTTTTTTTTTTTTTTTTATTTTTTTTTTTTTTTTTTTTTTTTTTTTTTTTTTTT